ATTATATATATATATACAATAATCCATCATATTATAATTGTAACTCTTTTCTTTAATAATCACCGGGCAATTACATTTAAAGGATTTAAGAACTCATCAGCAGGTGGCAACAGAGTATTTGTCATCATATCATTAACATGTGGGGCCTGCAAGTTTCCTGCTCCTCCTATCGGTGCATCTGAAACTAAATTAATTAATCTCAGGCAATAACACCAGTCATCATTACTTTTATGAATTTTAACTTTAGCACTTCAACAGTTTTTGTAGTACTTGTGTGGCAAACTGTAGTGTTACTTTGTGTGTCACCACTCACTAGAAGATTGTGCAAATTAAATTTGATTTTGTTCGTGTTGTCTGTTGACCTTAATAACGTCGAACATTCATAATGAAACGAAGGACTAAACAGTTTTGGCTCCTGCGTTCTGCTGTCACATCTCTCTGATCAGCTTCTTGTAAAAACTCTTCGGTTCATGTTTCACAAGCAGTGAGAAACGGATGATGCATGGAAAATTCAGCGGTGGTTATCTGGTGTGAATCCACAGGGGGGATTTTTTCTCTCTTGCTTTTTTATTTTTAGTTTCTGTGTAGGGGGCTAATGTTTTTCTCTCCTTTTTCACAAGACATGCCAGATAAAAATAAGGTTTTAAACAACAGCAGTTTGCAGCATATCAAGCACTTGATAAGAACAGTTGTTCAACAATGTGGTTTCCTTAATTAGTCACTGCTCTCGCTTTAATGTTTGTAGAAAGTCTCGGGGGCTGAAACAGCTGATCTTCCCCTCACGCACTTCTTTGTCTGACCTTAATGCAGTCTGTGACTCAGTATAGTTCAACACAATAGCTAAAAACACAAGTATGCTTAAGAAAACAAAACAACATCTGTTGATATTTGGATTTCAACAAAACTACACTGATACAATGCAATGCTTCCAGTGTTGCATTTGTAACTGAATTGTGCCTACCCTAATTAGTTTTTTTCAGACAGGAAGTACGGTGGCCCTGAGAGGCCAAACAGACTTTTCTTTTTGCAGCATTTTTCTTTTTGCAGCATTTTTCTTTTTGCAGCATTTTTCTTTTTGCAAGTGTTTTCGGAAGATGCAGTCCATTTGGCCTCTCAGGGCCACCGTAAGGAAGCCATCAGAGGTGCAAACAGCCAAAGGGAGGATATCCTCTTAGCTATCGTGTCTGAGCATTCTTTTAATGCACCTTATTCTCCATCCCCGAGGTGCTATTTAGTACTATTTTGTCAAAGATGCTAGTGTGGCTAATTTATGTACAAAGTGTGTTTCTGCTGCAATAACAAATTAAAGGCCAGGCTTCTAATATCTGTCATGTCTTTCTTTTCAGTCACATGCAAATCACCTGGTGGTCGGCAAACTTCTTTCTGAGATACTGATGAGATTTAATTTGACCTCTGATCAAATGAGCCTTAAGTGCAACATATTTAACATCATGAGTGCATGAAAGATTTTACCTGACGAAAGTCGACTATTACATTTTAAAATGTGAGCACAGGTGTGTGGCGTTTGTGTGACTGGAAGAATTACTTTTGTACGACTCTGCATAAAACTGAGCGAAACATGGCCATGACCAGGAACGAGCTTGTTAATTGTTTAAGTTTTAAAAAGCCAGCGAAGGCTTCTTGTGAACCAGCTGCATATATATTCTGTTGATAACAAAATTCATGAACATTCTGAGGAAACAGGTTTGAGGGGATGTCGGAAACAGAGAAGTGGCCACAGCCTGAATCTCACAGTTCAGCTGCCACATGTGGCTTTGAGTTTTCTTCTACAGACTCCGTCACCGTACACACACCACAATTCTTTGAAATAAAAAAGTACAAGACTTGATTCAGGCAAACTATTTCTGCGCTGTTGCACGCTCACTAGCCAGTGTTAACTAGTTTACATGCACCTAAGTAGTGCAATGCTTGTTTTTTGCACACATAAACAGCTCTTGTTTATGCAGCTGAAATTAGTTAACTCTTAGAAGTCCTTTACTGTCTTGATTAAGCAACGATAACACACATGGAACAATAGATCCAGATCTGAGTGACTTCCTTTGTCTGTGCAACTGGTTTAGTAGTCTTGTAAATGCCGTAGTCTATGTGTGTGTGTGTGTGTGTGTGGGGGGGGTCATGAGTTTTCTGGTTGTTAGCTACAGCTAGTTTTTGTTTCTTTGGTCTTGCATTGCGATCGCTGTTATTATTTTTTTTCTGTTTAAAGTTCACTGATGTTTTGGTATTTAGAGGCCTGGTTTCTTTCCTTATTTCCCTTTTATTTCCTTATAACTGTGTCCCATTCCCCTGATTGGACCTCAAGGAATTGAACTTCTGTCTCTCCTGTTCCTCTGTCAGATTTTTTTGTGTGTTTTTTTTCAAGGTGCAGCATTACCAACTCCTCCAGCTTCTCCAGCTCACACACTCTCAATCCAGTCAGAAAAGTCTTTCCAGCATGTTTGAGAGTGGGGCATCCTCCAGGAATATCTCATCAACAAGGTGCCCAGAGGGGAGTCACGTCCGATGCATGAATCTCTTTCTTTGACCTCTTTCTTTCGATCACTACCAAGAACTTGTGACCACATTTGAGCGTAGGATTATAGATCAACAAGTAAATTGACAGCTTCTATTTTACATTCAGCTCTCTCTCAAACTCAGCAGACAGGAAAAATGTCTGCATTGGCCTCAATCCATCTTTGACCTTGTCTACAAATTCTGTCAAAATTGCAAACCGGATCATTAACAAAGGGGGGAATCCAACACCCACCAGGAATTCCTTTGACTTCCAGGAAGGAACACCAAGCTCTGTTTGTGTGTTTACAAGGACCTTCTTCAAGCCTTCTCTCTGTAAAATCAAGGAAAAACACAATCATGAGTAAATTTTCAGACAGTTACATTCGTCAAACATAAATTCAATAACCCATGCAAATTAAAATGAGCAGTCACGTGTACAAAGAAGCCATAAGACAGACTACGGCAGATTCATGCGTTTGGATATCTCTGCTTTCAAAGCAGTGAAAACACAGCAGAAATCCCTAAGAAGTTATAGCGCTGCCAATCAGTGATCTACGTGAATGATGTCATTTCCTTGTTACCCAGAAGCTAAAGCCCTCAGCTACAAACGCTACAGCTAAGCTACCAGTATTACAGCCAGTCTTGAATCATGAATTGCTGAGTATTTTCAGCGTGGCTTCACAAATGATGAAATCCTTGTGTTATTAGCTGAATCACATGGCGTTACTATCAGCAAACGTACTCTTCAAAGCACCAATTTGTTGCGATTCGATTTTGAGTGCACATTCCTCTGCGCCATAGTCCTTCCCGGTAACAAGAAAATTACGTCATTCACGTAGATTACTGATTGGCTAACTCGAAATTTTGAATTACTTTTCTCAAAATTTCCAGTTAATGAGTCTAAATTTTGAGAAAGATAACTTGAAATTTCGAGTTATGGATACTTTTTTTGTGTGGCGGAAAAACGGGCTTCCATAAAATGGTGAAGCCTCTGCACTCCGGCGCCATTATCTGTTTTACACTATCACATATCTTTATATATCAGAAACTAAATGGTAGAAACACACATCATTTCTAAGAAAAGGAAATGTAGTTTTGGGATTTTTGTAGTCAAATGTGTAAACTTAATTAATTACTTAATTAGTTAATACAAAATATGAACAAGAAAATAAAGTCATTATACTTTATGACTGGTTTCAAAGCAGCAACGCCACAGGCTATGCGACAGGTTCAGTTTACTGTGTTAACAACTGTTTAAAACTGTATTTATTTAGGATTTATTTGTTGTGTTTGCTACACAGCAAACACTTGTTGTTTGCCATCCGATGGGTCATTTAGAGTCTTTGCAGGGTTGGCTTTCCTCCAGGCTTATGTTTCACACCCCTGGCTGGTCTGAAGTGGTGAGGCCTACCCCCCAACACATATGTTAATTTTTCACTCTGTTTTTCAGAAAGTTGAATCTTTTTTGTTGTTTGGATGTAAAGTGATTGATTAGTACAATGGCATTTTTGCAATTAGTCAAAATGAGTTTTCTTAACAGTCTCCCTGAAAATTCACACATAGCTTGCAAGAGAAAAGGAGAACTTAATTTAAAGCATCTAAGTCACGGGTCTCAAACTCAACTGAGCCATGGGCCACTGCTGGCACTTTCATCTCATTGGTGGGCCACTTTAGGGTTCAACAAGTACAAAAAACAAACAAAAACAAGTAAACACCCACTAAAATGTAGTATTTTTTTTTTTTTTAAAATTTCAAATATTGTATGACAAGACGAAACTGCAAACATGAATGCATTTTTTTCAATAAACACATTGGTACTCTCTTTCTGGCCAGACACGTGGCAGCTCTTCTACTATAATTCAGTTTGTATTTAACAAAATCAAAATGCAGACATAAGTGTAGACATTAGTTTTTGACCCCTAGCAAAAGTGTTTTCTTACCTAATTAAATCTATCATGAACTAACACGGCCAAAATATCAACATGTTTGTACTCTCTTGTTACCTGGGCCACATCCGCGGCGCTGTCCGTGGTAACAGGACCTCTGACTAATACTGTGCTTTCCGTGTCTGGCTCGTAGACAGTAAATAGCTTCACTGTCTGGGTCAACTTTGCTAGCGAGAGACAGAGAGAGGCGTTGAAAGGCTGCTCCAACGGAACTTTATTGTATCGGAGGCGGCGAACACGGTGTACAGTCGAGTCTTAACAGTTTACTTACAACTGGGCTGGTCAGGCTCTCTTTTTGGCTGCTGTGGTTATTATTATATTTACATGCTTTCATCTTCTGTTTCTTGTCAGTAGCAACTCATACTTTTTGAATCTCCTTTTTCTCCCTCCCTCCCACACACACACACACACACACACACACACTGCCCATGAGGCTACATTCAGGGCGATGCCTGTAGCGCTCTGCTCATATCGACTAACATTAAATCATCTTTTCAATAATAATTTGTAAGAATATTTCCTCACTTCAGTATGCGGGCCACAAACAGAGGTGACGTGGGCCGTAAGTTTGAGACCCCCGATCTAAGTTAAAACAGATTTCTCAAAAATACTGAAGGTGTGCTTAAACATTGCCCCCACCACAACAAAGACTCTTGTTCAATAGGTTTCAGTTCACTATGTATTTGTTTGTGAGTGGGAGTCTACTAAGCTTTTGATTTAGTACATCTGGAGTTACGACACAATCTTGAGACTGGTACTGCAAAACAAAGTTTAATCCAATGATTCTTGTTCCCTTTTTTGTGAACATAAACTTTAACATATTAATTTGTGTCAGTGCACATATTTGTATCCACTACATTTTTTTTGATCCAGTTGACAGCATGACTAATAGATTATATAAAGAAGGGACAGAAACAGCTGGGCTTGTCTGTGTGAGACACAGAGATACAGGAAGCCACCAGTAGCCGAAAAGGTCAAATGAGCTGTTCTTACACTCATTTTGATCCCCGAAGAAACAAAAGCAAAGCATTACAGAGCTGTTTTACTACGGTTTTACTCCATGAGCTGAGTGCTGATGTTTTGTTTTTTTAATTACAGAGGGACAGCTCAGGCTTTAATTCTGATTCATTGTGATTCACAAACTCAACTGTATGGGTGTTTCCTGATATAGCCATGAGTTTGTGAATCACAATCAATCAGAATCAGTCCTGACAGCAAATTCAAGTATGAAAAGTCTAAGTATGTGACACGAAGTGGGATTTGCTTGCATAAAACATAAATTATGGAAAATGTGATTCCAATTTGGGGTGCAAGAATTGCAAAACATGTATCATAGTCTCAGACTGCACCATCTTGCTGCATTCAGATTTTTTTATCAAGATAGTCAGCATATGTCTGTTGTGGCCATTGTTTACAATTTCCCACATTATATCTCACCTCTCAGACAATTTCTCAATAAAACAATGAAATGTGATAATAACATTTCGCCTCTGTCAGTGCGCCCCAGGGTGGCTGTGGCTACAATGTAGCTGCCATCACCAGTGTGTGAATGTGTGTGTGAATGGGTGGATGACTGGATGTGTAAAGCACTTTGGGGTCCTTAGGGACTAGTAAAGCGCTATACAAATACAGGCCATTTACCAATAATGAAAAGTTAGATAGAAGTGAAAACCATGCATTGCAATCAGATCTTACTGAAATGTAGCTCAGCAGAAGTATAAGTCAGATAAAGTTTTCTTCCAAGTACGGTTCTAGCTCTATTATCAGTTTGATTGGCAGAACTAAAGGACACAAATCAGTTTCAACACACTCAGAATCAAACTACAACAACTGACTCATGCACCACTGGATGTCCACTACCTTATCGTCTAAACATGACTCTCTTGAGCACTAGTTTTAGTCTCGTATTTTACACGTATCCTTTAGATGGCTCAACTACTTTAGTGCAGGACTATCTTACTACAAGTTACTGTTTTGTCTTCATGATTAATAAAGGTAACAGCTCCAGATAGATAGATAGAGCGAATAGCTCAGTTGTGCAAGAGAAGGTTGAGGTACCACAATGATTAGTTTCTTTGATCTCTCAAAGTACATTGTGTGAGTGTTCTTCTTCCGCACTGTAGGATGTACGATTGTATATAATGTAACAATGTATGCATTTCAATGTTATGTAACATTTTAGATTGCGTGATGATTATACCTCTTTAAATTGCTTTGTCTTCAACTCAGTTTAATTCATTTGAATTTTCTTTCTACAGCATCAAATCACACCAACAGTTCACTCAAGACACTATTTGGCCTTTTTTGCCTTTATTTTTTCTTCAGCTCTGAGCAAAATGAATGAGGTTCTGTATTAAATGTCTTTGACTGAGGCTAACCTCAGAGATGGTCTGACTCTATCATATAATGTCTTTAGGGATGATGTGCTGCTTACTGGTATAAATTGAATCTTTAAAATATTACTCAAATAATTGTTTGAGGAACGTTTGACTAAATATCACTTCAGGGAAGGTTTAAAAAAAGACAAAGGTTCAAAGCCATGAAAGTGGGTAAGGTGTATTCTCTGACTATAAGAGATGTAAGCAAAGAAGTTGTTTTCTTGTTGTTTTACTGTCACAGTAAATTATACCCAGATCACTCAAGTTAGACTGATCTTATATAAACTGCTTTTTAGCCTACATGAGTTGATGATTTCACAGGTGGCATCTGGCTGAGTCCGTGACATTTGCCCTCTTTGTTCTTTCTCTGCATTTCTGTGTTTTCTTCTCATTTCCTGTG